AGGTCCTCTTCTAGGCGTTATGGACAATTTAACCCTGCTTGTTTCAAGATTCACTCCAGATGTGGACCTCACAAGTCCTCCCCTAAGAGAAATAGGGAGGCTGCATTGTAAAGGCTGCGTATGGATGGGAAAATGTGAGCGGATTTCCTGCTCCTGCCTGTCCTCCACCCACTATGGCTCAGTGCTCAGTTAGCAGAAGAGGAGAGATTGAGCTTGTTCGGACAGAGGTGGGAGGGGAAGCAGCGGGGTCGGGGTTGCAGTTTGTTTTTCTTTGACACAGCAGTCATCATCATCTGAGCGTAAGGCTCCATTCATTCCCAGTGACTCATGATAGACCTGCTCAAGTGTCCATTAGTGGTAAGGTGCTCTATTGAGGTTTGGCAGGTCACGGTGTTTAGGAGCGATTATCTTCCTGCAGACTCAGAGAAATAGGTGTTAAATGTTGGGATGAGGAGAGCATTCACTCATAGGGATAAAATATCAAGTTGAGGAGTTGGAATTAAACGTCGTCATCCCTTCCACCTTCTTCAATCTGACTCTGTGGACAACTTGTGATTAGGACTGGCATTATTTTTTTGTAAGCGAAATACAGGTTTTACATCAGTTTTCTTGTGAAACAATTGAAGCATTTCTTCCCGGTGATTAGTAATGTTGCTCATCTCTCCTGGACAGTTTACCCCTCTATAAGCCAATGTATTTTTATTTTTTTTGTCTTTAGCCACAGTGTTTGAGGGGCCCGCATTGTTTCCCCTCTAGTGGATAATCTGATTACATTTCAATTTGCACATGTGACTGTCTGGTAGAGGACAGGCTTACTGCTGCATCGTCTGACCGCTGGTCAGCAAGGCTATTTAATGAGAAGATCATTATCCACTGATGTTAGCACCACAACCAGAAGAAATGAGGATGTATTAATGACTAACATTAGGATGTCGAGACAGAGTAGATGAGTTATTGGTTGGTTGGAACTTTTTCATTTTTTTTGCTGTTGTGCCAATCATCACCTGAGGACACTATTGAGAGTTTGTAAATGTACCATTTATTGTGGTATCAAAATTTTATTCTGAAAATGAAGAGAAATCCAGATTTTAATAGAAGAATTTTCTAATGTTGAAATGTTTGATTACAAAACTACTCACACAGTAATATGTGGACATGTTACAATAAAATAAATAATAATTAAAATAAATCCAGAGTTTAAGTATTACTTTTTTAAGTTAGTAATCAATCCCTTCTTGTTTCTATTGGAAATGGGTTGGAGCTCATCTGCCTGGCTGTGTCTTTCCTAGACAGATCTGGTTGACCTTTTGCATTTCTGCTTCTTTCTGTATGTCTGTTTCTGCCTCCTTGAACCCCAGTCGGCCTCTGCAGATGACCGCTCACACTGAGCCTGGTTCTGCCAGAGGTGACTTCCTGTTGAAAGGGTGTTTTCCTCTCCACTGTTGCTGCATGCATGTTTGGTGTGAGGGATTGCAGAAGAGTCAATGAAAAAATGCAAGCGAAAATAATTGCTGCCGGCTAATCCAGGAGGAGCATGTTTTGAAAGTAAAAGACTTGTTGCAATCAGCTGATTTTTAAATAAAAGAAACTTTTAACCAATCTAACTGTAACATGCCTTGAAATGATATGTGTTGTGAATTGGCACTATATCAATAAACTTAATTGAACTGAATGGGTTAGAATGTTTACATGACATAGAGGCCTGTTTGTGTTTGGCACTTCTCAAAATGCAAAACACAAGAGACCATGTCTTTTAAGAGTAAGGCACACGATTGACCCTTAAAAAATAGGAAATGTTTATTATTAGAAAAAGGTACAAGCAGTTTTAGGCAGTCAGAGCAATGACTAAAAATCTCAAAACAACTGGAACTGTGACTGTGGAAGAAGAAGAAACACAAATCTCTAAAGCCTAATTTTAAATAGAAATGCTATGTTTTGAATTAAAATAAAAACCAAACAAAAAAAAAAATCTGTACAACAGTGACAAAGGTACACCTGTGAAGTTTGTCTGGGATGACAGCGTAAAAAACATCTGATGTCCATTTTTAAGAATGCTTTGATTCTGTGTGGGCATTTGGCTCCCAAAATTCCCATATAAACTTAGTTTCTTTGAGATAACCAGCACATGGTCAAAGAAACTCTGATGTTCTTGATCAGAAGACCAAAACATTTTTCAAAAGTTGTGGTCAAAATCAGCACAAAAAAAAAGCACAGGTATGGAACTCCAGTCCTGCACTAGTGTTTTGCTACTTTTAGAGGTCTCTGCTTAGTCGTACTTAGTCCAGTCCGACACTTTCCTCTTTTCACTTCAGCCCACAGATTTTCAATAGGATTTAGGTCTAGAGACTCAGATGACTTAAGAAAAGTGATGTAGTTAACCCAAATTATCGAGGGTAAGTATCCAGCAAGTTAAAGATATTCCATGGTCCAACGTGCCTTCATCTAAGGAATCTGGAAAGCCTGTCTGCAACCTGTGGAGTTAATTCATCCTGGATTATATTTCTGTATGATGGTTTATCAATCACAATAATGCTTTGCCTTCTTTAACTGTCTGCTTTCCTGATAAATAGAATGCAGTTAACTAAATTTACCACAAAAGAGAGAAAAAGGATTTCTTATGTATAGAAGTAAAAAGTCAGCTCGTTTTTGTTTGCAAAGAGAATGCATAAGTACTTTTATTTTCATAAGTTTGTTATTTGCTAAATACCTATCAAACTGGGTATGGCTACAAGTCTGTTTGTTAATTGAGTCTGTTACTTTAGATTATTCACAAAATGTTGTTGCATCTTTCAAAAAATGAGCAGGGTTATTATAGATTGGGTAAATGACAGAGCTCACAAATATGAAACTTTAGCTTTTACAGAGGAACAAAATCTTTTCTGGATTGTCGCTACCTTTAAATATCATCCTAAAAAAAGAAATCCAGTGCCAGTGATGTCTTATGGGATTGCTACATGGAGGTATACTTACACAGAAGCTGGCAATATTTACATGGAAATTGGTCTCGTGTGAAACATGAAGAGAGAACATTTCTGGTAATAGCTGATACCAGATAGAAAAGAAAATTAGTAAAACTTTGTCGCTGCAGAAGTTGCAAGGTTTGTGCTCCTTTTACTTTTAGTTTAAAATAGCTTTTCTATATGACTAAAATCCCCATACCTGTTCCGTCCTTATTATGTGTTTTATACAGGAAGCTGATTTGTAGTTCACCTACCTCCATTTCTCATTTAAACTATTGTTAGACTGTCTATCGAAACCTCCTCAATGCAAACAGGACTTCCCTTTATAAGTTCCCTGGAATTTATGCCCCATAAGCAGCTGTGACATTTTTACATTTGAATTATTTTAGGATGGAACGCGTGTGCATCAGTCTGATGCCTATCTGACTTGTTTTTTTTAGTCTCTGGGACAAACTAATCTAAATTGCAACTATATAAAGACCCTTAGAAAATGATTTACTGCAGGTAAATATCAAATGCTTCAGCCTTTTAAAACAGAACCTCATATGAAATGTTCAGAGCTATCGCATAACTCCCCTTTAACATTGAAGAACATCTGAGTATCGGCATAACAAACCCTGAGAGCAAATTATTTGGGTAGAAAACTGACAATGTACCATTTGAAAATACTGAGAAATCAGTTTGAACAAAAGTAAAACACTGCATCCATTGTAAGACATTGTGATTTATGCAGGTACCGTAGGGCCCATTGTCAGTTTGTAGGAATTATTATCTTTTTTTAGGTCTCTCTCAGTTACTAGGAGGTCCAGATTTAATAACATATTGTTTCCAAAGAATGTCAGATGCATCTGAACTCTTGGCTGTGGCACTTTTTGCTCACTGAATGCAAGCTTAACCTGGAACAATCCCGGAATACCATTCAGACATTTTCAAGCAGCCTATATCGGTATAGATAGATAAGAGACTGGTGCAAGGGTAGTCATTTTCATAGCAAGAATTTAAGACATATGATTGTTCTCCTCCCCCACCTTATCCTCTTGTGATTATGATCAATTATCCACTTGTAATTAGAGCCTGGCAGTAACTGAGCTTATGGGCTCTGACACTGTGTAATAGCCTGTAATAATGTTGTCAGTCACATTTCATATAGTCCATGTGCAAAGGGAGGCTTTCCATAGAAATTTCTTTAAATGTTTCCAGTGCGTTTTATAGGAATTGCTGACATAATTGTAAAAAGTGCCCTTTTGATCAATTACCCTATTGATTTTCAGATAAATAGGATTAAGTGTGCATTTATTCTGAAGATTGTTAGTCAAAAGAAAAAAAAAATACAAAGCACAACAGGAAGTTGTGGGTTTGCAAGACCCTCTGAAAAATGGTGCTCAGATTTTTCTCTTATTAAGAAAAGTAAGGTGATCTGATTTCAAACAGCCTATCTCTATTTCTCTTTCTGTTTGACTTGCGCTCCGACCTTATTCAGACTCCCGTTTGAAAAACGGAGCAAAGCAAACTGTCTGAAGAGCCACTTCCTGTTGTGTACTTTAGATCCTTGTCATGTGATAGCGTCAGTTGAGGCAGGCGTGTGCGAAGCAAGCGTGGGGAGGGAATGGGGTAGCACTGCTGCGGATCTTGCTGATGTGCACACAACAACCCTCCCCTCCTACCCCCCAACACACACACATACACACACTCTCCACTCCTACCTCAGCCATCACCCTGATTGTGTAAATTGTCGACTCAGCCGCTGTGGCATCAAGACCCCCCCACACCACCCCCTCCCAGTGCCCCGCACCACTGAAGCACAGATCCACCACATAGACCTGAATACCAGTGGTGCTGAATAGAAATTTGAGGATGGTACATCTAAATTCACTTTTGCTGCATCTGGCGTTACTTGACTACCTTACAATACATTTTTGGCCTACCTACCTGTGTAAAAAGATATCTGATTTGCATTGTAAACTCTTCCGCTAAGATGGTCTAGATTTACTGACATTTTCCCCTGTTTGCCTTCTCTCTTGTCTCCTTATTACTCTACAGGTCCTGTGACGTGTGGAAATGCACTAGAGCAAAGGTCGACAAAGCCAACACAATGAGTACCAAAAGAGTTTTGGATGAACAGAATCTATGACAAAACCTCTTTTGCTGACAATGACAATCAGAACCTAAAAAGGAAAATGATATGTTGAGTTTCTACTTGAGCAGTGAGGTACCAAGTTTATTGACTTCATGATTGAGGGCTGTGTTTGTAATTTTACCTGACAAGGAGATAAAGATATCCCTAGATGTACCTCTCTAGATAGCGGTGATTTCCACTGTTAATAAGCTTGTGAACCACCAGGTACACAAGGTAGTTCTAGACATACCATGAATCCTAGAGACAGTGTAGATGTCATGGAGACCCAGGAAAAACTGACTGTCAAAAAAGCCAATCCTGGAAAGGAGTTGGAGGGTGAGGATGAGAAAATTCCAGAGGCTTATAACTGCAACATCTGTGGACGCAGCTTCCCTTTCCTCAGCTCTTTCTCGCAGCATATGAGACGCCACACTGGTGCGCGCCCATATAAATGCCCCTACTGTGACCACAGGGCATCTCAAAAGGGCAACCTCAAAGTCCACATCCGCAGCCACAAACTGGGCACACTGTCCAGCCATCACTCTAATGAAGATGAAGAAGGTGGGGCAGAGGAGGAGGAGACGAAGGTTTCTGAGGGACTGGATGGGGGCACCAGTCCGACCAAGAGCAGCTCTGCCTGTAACAAGATGATCAACGGGGATGCTAGTGAAGAAAGTCGGAGAAAAATGCCAGCCCGGAGCATGAAAAGGGAAAAGTCTGTGACCAACCAAAGGCCGTACTGTTGCCGCTTATGTGGGTATGAGGCCCTGCGGGAAGACCAGCTACTAAGCCACATTGAGAAAGTCCACATAACAGCCGATGCAGAAGACGACACGGTCATTGTTAAGGAAGAGGTCATGGCCGAACCCGAGACCATCCAACCACCAAGCGACGGCACATTCCCCTGTGAGACCTGTGGCCAAGTTTTCAGCCAGGCATGGTTTTTAAAATCGCACATGAAAAAACATGCCGGAATCCTAGACCACTGTTGCCGAATATGTGGAAGAAGGTTCCGCGAAGCTTGGTTTCTTAAGTCTCATATGAAAACCCACAATGCCAGGTCTAGGTCTCGCTCCAAAGCAGATTCAGCAGAGCCTCCCACCACTATAAACGACGTAGCCCAGGATCCTGAATTCGGGACACCCTCTGTTACATCTGTTTATCAGATGTGCTCCAAATGTGGAAACCTTTTTCACAGCAAAGAGAGCCTGAGAGCCCACGATAAGGTTCACAGTCCTAAATGTGGCAGAAAATCCCCACTCCACTGCCAGTCTACTGATGATGAAGATTCACCAGCTGCTAAGAGACGTTTCCTTGATTACTTTAATTTACAATGCATTCATGTGAACAAGCTGGATGAAGAGGACAGTGAGAAAAGGACTCTTGGTCAGAGGATTCCAGAACTAGATCCAATTTGTAGCTACCAGGCTTGGCAGTTGGCTACTAAAGGAAGGGTCATGGAGCCAGTGGAGCCAAGTTACAAAGCATCATATGGAGGAGGAAGCATGGAGGTCGAAGCCCTCACAGAGGCTTCAGTAGTTTACGAGAAGGAGAACAGCTGCTTTGTCCTGCAAAGCCAGGAAAAACGCAGCTCAGGGAGACGCAGCAGCTCAGGGTTGGGAAGCCACGCATCTTCAGGAGACAGAACACCAGAGAGCCTCAGCGATTCCGAGTACCGCCCCTCAAGTCGACAGGACAGAAGACGACCGTCCCAGTCGCAAGCTTCTTCTTCCAAGGGCAAGGAGTGCTTTGAGTGTGGCAAGATGTTCCGCAGCCGGCATCAGATGATGGTCCACCAACGGGTCCATAGAAAGGATGGAGGCAAGGCACCGCCAGGAGACAAGGAAAGACCTGCAAGAGATGATCAATGGGGCCCCACCAGTGATCCAGAGTCTGGCTCACCAAGCAGACCCAGCACCCCTGGTTACGGAGATTCTCCTCCTTCATCGGCGCTTGGAGACCAGGCTTCAGAGATGGGAACTTCAAACTCTGCAGAGACTCCAGGTTAGTCAGCAACCGTTGGGATGTGTGTCTTTTCCTATATGCACAACAACAACAAAAATCCTCTATTTAAAAAGGCGTAGAATAAAACAAAAAAAAAGAACAAAACACAGTGTAATTAGAGATAAAGATAGAGACATTTTTGGTTAATATTTGCCTTATGGTATCCTTTCTGCTGCTTTGCAGTAGCTGTTAAAATGAACACACTGTCAGCAGTTTCAGACAACTGTAGACCCTATTAAGTCTCCCACTCTATACCTCGGCCACTCTATAAACAACTGTTGATGAACAATGCTTGTCTAATCAGTTTCTTTGAAGTGGGAACTGGAGCCACCATGTGCACAAATTTTGAAACTGCATCAGCGTGAGATTACACCATTAAAAACAGTGCTGGATAACAATGCTATCAAATATATCTCACAGCTTCTAGTTCCGCTGAAGAGTTCATAGACAGCAGTGACATTGTAATGTTTTTAATAGTGCTGCAGAGCTAACAGTTTAATAAAACCTCTTATGCCTGCTGGCATGTGAGCTGGAAAAACAGCATTTTCAGAATGCCAGTCATTTTTTTTTCAACCGTATAATCCAGTGAATGCACAACATTGATGGATAAACAACTAGCATGGACAGTGATGTATTCCAAATGAGGTATTTATTTGAAATTTGTGTTTAACTTTATGGTTCCTCCTTTTTTCTCAAAATCATTCATCAAAATCGGATATATTCTGTTCTGACGCTGATGTTCAAAAATAGCTGCAACATTTTTTCAGACCCCATTGAGCTGTGTGCTATTTCAGGTCTTCCTGTCTCAGGAACCCCCCAACCCCCCACCCCCTTCATATCTGAGTGTGAATATTCTTTTCAGACATTTTATAACTTTTAGCTACTTGTGTGACTTCTTATGTTAATGTTAAATTGGTATAGTAAAGAGGCTAAAGAGGGGGAAATAATTAAATGCCATTGTTGCAAAGGATTTCATGGAAGGGACATGTCCTTACTAGTAATTAGTTAAAGTGCAGAAAATGTTGCCTTCTTGTTTTATGCCGAGCTGATCATGCAGTACAGACATGAGAAGTGAGCATGCATTTCTTGGAAAACTACTCTTGGAATAATTGTATTGTCCCAATGGCAACTTGTTTCCTGACTTTACTACACTGGTTCACTTTGAAAACCATATTCCAATTGCATGGATATGGACGCCATCATGTGGACAATAGAGTGAACAGCATTTCAGAGACAAATTCAAATAAACATGTACCACAAAATGCTTATTTTGATGGCTTAAATGAAGGCCAATCTAATAAACACAAAAAGTTAACTTGCACTAATATCTGAAAAAAAAATGTATTCTATAACAAATTCATAAAAGATAGAGTGAAAGATTCGCCTTTTTTGTTAAAACATAACCTTATATCATTACTGCTGATACAGGATTTTTGATTTTTTTTTAAATTACCTTTTTAAGTCTTTAACTTAGCTTATTAAATTCTCTTCCAACTTAATTTACAGTAGATAACATATAATTCCAGGGCTTATTTAATTGATATCTTGCTATGTGAAAGTTTGTAACAATTTATTACTCATTTAAGTGTTTATTGTGCATTCAAAATTTAATTCATGCTAATAATGCTTTGATTGCAATGTAGTAACTTATTGTAATTGAAATGCAATAATAATAATTAATATAACAATTTAAATATATAGTTAAACAGCTAAGGCTTAGCCTTTTAGGAAGAAACTAGTGAGTTTTCTCTGTTGCTCGCCTTATTTATTGCACACTAAACACTCTGAATGAGTTCTAAAGCATTAACAAATTAATCAATAACATACCTAGAAACTGTGTATAAGCATCTATAAGGGATGCCTTATTGTAAAGTGGTACCAGTATATTCAATACCTGTTCAAAGGCAGTCATTTCTTTAAAGGTACTTCTAAAGAGACACATATTAGATGTTTATATTATTTAATGTTATTTCTTTAGTGAATATATTTGTATACAGCGGATGTTGTGTTTTCTTTTATACACACATATGTATTTAAATGTTTACAGCTCTGCTGTCATCTCAGTCAATTATAATAACAGTAATAATATTAATATTAATAATAAAACAAATACTGAAAACGTAATAGAACAACCCTCATCAAGACATCAAGTTAGAATCGGTTAATATTAACTCAATATTTTAAAAAGAAACTTAACCAATATGTGTTTTGTATTTGTATGTGAGGTGAGGTTTGGAACTAAAGCAGATCATTAGATTTAATTTTCTGTAGATCTAGACTGCCCCTTGGTGGTTAGTTTGTAGAATTACATCCATATAAAGTACAAATGAAACTGAAGGATTGTTACTGGGGTTATTTTGTGTTACAGATTGGAACATTCAATGTTGTTCAGTTAGTAGTTCCTGAAATTTATGTTTTTTGTCTTTTTTAGATGAAAAACCATACATCTGCAGCCTTTGTGACTTTGTTACTCAAGACTCACAGGCCTATGTCACTCATGTTCGAGTCCAACACTCCAAAGACAGATGCAGCCCTGTCCCCAGTCCAAACTCCAGCTTAGGCAGAGAGACCCTCTGTGATTACCCCAAACAGAAGAAAGCGTTTAACCCTGGGCTAAAAACCTCCTCTAATGCTTACCTGTCTAAGCGCCCCTCTCTGTCGGATCCCAACATGATTCCTATGGATTTATGTGTGAGAGCCAACGGCATCAGGGGCACGGTCTCTATAACTTTAGATAAGAAGAACCTCCTAAGCCATAAGTGCTCCTTCTGCTCTCACTCCAGCCGATACCCAGAGGTGCTCTGGATGCATCAGACCGTGGCTCACCGCATCAATAGCAGCAGCTCCAATCTAGCTCCTAAATGGGCTCTTAAAAACAGCTCCAAGAGCTCCAGGGACGTCTCTTTGTCCTCCAAGAGACGCACTGGACCACCTCCTGTCCTGGAAGGGAAAGAATGTCAGCCGTTACCTTCGCTGGCACGCAGCCAACGCACGAGGCCCCCCACCTCCAGTGAGGTGGTAAAGAGGAGCCGACCAGTGAGTCATGCAGCCACTCCACCATCATCATCATCTACACCTTGTACTCCATCCTCGAGAGGATCTTCATCTGCATCAGGCACCCAGGCTGGGAGACTTCCTGTACGGCCTGTCAGCAGTACCAGCCACAGCGCCATCAAACCCACAGAGGACCAGAGTCACCGCTTCAGACCCAAGGTTGACATCTATCCTAGAGTCACCGCTCAGGCATCCTCTGGCTCTTTGGAGAAGAACACCGGAAGTCGCTTTCGAACCCCTTCACACACCCTCAGCTCCTCTGCAGCTTCCAAGACAGCTGACCGCTACATGATGCCACAGGAGGGACTAGGCTTCATGCTGACCAACAAACACGGCCTGGCAGAGTACAGCCGAGCTCGCGGCTCGCCAAATCAACCGCTCCCCACTTCCCAAAGCCACAGTCGGCCAAACCCTTCAAGGCCTAGCTCCATCAACCACTGTTTGCCCCAAACGCACAACTACGGCGTCTCCCAGACACAGGGAGCCGTTGCTCAGACCTCCTCCTCCTCTTCCTCAATTCCTTCAGAGAGCCGTAGGGAGGTAAAGCAGGAGCCAAGTGCAGAGATGCCAGAGATGCCAGCTGACGTCCTGGGCTTCCTCAAGAACTACAGCCCTCATGAGCTGGCTGCTCTCTACCACCGCTGGGGTGCAGCCAACACTCTGATGGACCCCACAGGTAGCAGTTAATCATTATTTACACATTTAATTAAAACATTTCCTTTTATGTGAATATATTGTTTCTGCTTTTATGTAATAAAACAAATACTCTCTCACATAAAAATCAACATCATTATCTAACATCCAAAATCGCTTCAAGCATCTGAGCTCAGAGGAAATGTCAAGTGTCAGAAGGAGTAAAGAAATATTTAGAGTAGGCAGCCTGTTTCTGGCCCCTAAGCGTAGAGCGCAGAAAGCTTCACAGGGGGAACAATACAACTCTAATCTCTTGGATGAACATTTAAGTCTCATTAGCAAGATGTGAAGAACTTGCCTTAGACTTTTGTTGCATGTAGCATCACTGCAGCAACTGCTTTTATTCAGCAGCTGGTGGCAAAATAGAAAGCAATAAAGTACACTACCTTGCTGTACCATCCCCCCTCCAGCAAGAGCCACTTCCGCACGCCCCCTGCTGGCTGTGCAGGACTGTGTGCGGCTTCTTTCGTGATAAGAGAAACGGTGGGAGCTAAATCTTACAGCCTTCCACATCCTTCACAACCGCAATTAGCGGTCGACAATTAGCTTTTGTAGACTTTGTTTTAGGGTTGGATAGCATGTATTGGGTGGGAATACATCATGTTCACCGTTTCCCTTGCATTTCAGTTAAGTCAAGCTTTGAAAAGGAATTTCTATGATTTTCCTTTTAAAATAGATACTTGTCCTCCTCTTCTTATGAGGCCAGTTTGTTAACAGACCACAGCTAACAGCTGTCCTGTCAGTAGATTCTTCCAGCTGAGCTGTGGATGGTTGCAGCTCCCCCAGAGGTCACTGGAGGTCTTGGTCTACTTCCTTGTAATTCAGATATTTAGAAATGGGCCGATGCATGTTTTTAAGGCTGAGGCAGATTATTTTGATGTTAATCTAACTGATCCCTGATATGTGCTGCATATTTTTGAAATGTAGAAGATAAAAATGATACACAATGATAAAAATGTTACTTGATTTGCAATAAATAAAAAAAATGAACGTTTGATTTGTTAACAATCAAAGAAAACATTACCAGTGCATAGCAAATAGAGGAAGAGGCAATGCAAGCACTTCGAGCAATCTCAAGGCTTGGCTGCTGTTTATCGGCGGGTCGATATGTCTACTGCTGCTTCACACATCTCTATAGAATGTATAGAAGTCTGTGGTTTGATCTGGTGAAGCTTAATGTGCCTGCTTGACGATTTATAGAAGTGGTACGCAGAGATTGTCTTTTTTTTAACCATGAAAGACGTGAGAGAACCTTTTCTGCTCTCGGGTCTGCGAGGCATGGCCGCTCCGCTGTCCCAGAAAGCTGTCACAAACTGTTTGGGTCACGGCGCTCTGCCTGACGAAGAGGCTCACGCAGATGCAAATGGAGAGGGAAACCAAAGCAGAAAGGAAGGTAAAAAAAACAAAAAAAACAAGAGAGAGATGAGACAGAATAATTACCCCACCAGCTGCTTTGGAAATGGTCATTACCCAACACCCGTAATATTTGCCCAGTTTGTGCAGCGTCTCCGAGGTCAAGCGGGGCTGCATGGAGCCAGGGGTCAGAGACAACAGCCCCAGAGCAGACGCGTGACATCGCTGTCACCCGTCCAGGCACATATCGTCACCATCTGCCTTAGCCCTTTGAGTCACATGCTATAAAGTGACCTTTTTTGAGCAACTGAGTCTTTCTCCTGTGTCCCTCTGTAGTACGTGGTGATGGGAGTGTGTGTGTGTTGGTGGGCTTGTGTTTTCTGTCCAGCTCTGTCTTGTCTTTCATTAGTGCATCAGTGAGAAGGGCTGGCGGCCCAGTTGGGAAGTGGAGTATCCAGAGGCCAGCAGTCGGGCTGCCAGAGACACTCTCTTTCACCTCTTCCACCTCTCTGTCCTTCTTGTTCCTGCTTTGCCCCCACCTCCCTACCCAAACAGGAACATGTAGAAACAACTCTCAGGTGGTGCTGATGTATATGACAGCCTCTTTGTGCAGGAAGATCCTGGTTCTTTGGGGTTTTTTGAAGGCATTAAACTCCAGAAAGACTCTGGCTTTTTATCTATCAGTATCATTGGAAGGATGCAGGAATTTTAAAATGCAAAATGCAGATTGAGACATCGAAATGTAAAATTTCTTTTTCTATTTTTTTTTTTTTTACAAACATACTGAAAAATAATAATAATTGATCTCACAATGGAGAAATTCACTTCTCAATCTTAACCCATCCCCTTGGGGAGCAGTGGGCTGCCATTGTGGGGAGCCTGGGGAGCAATCAGGGGTTAAGGGTCTTGCTCAGGGACCCACAGTGCAGGCTGTGGGGATCGAACCAGGAACTTGCAACCTTGTCAGAGGAGCGCACTGCTCTAACCACTAGGCCAACACTCCGCTATTACATAGAAAGCTTAATATATATTTTTTCTTTAGGTAAATAAATCTAATTTTGTTTAGAAAACAGTATATTGAGGTACAAAATTGTCACCAGACTCTTGACCTGATATATAAATGACATTTTAGACTTAGACTTAGACTTCTTTATTTGTCATTTTGTATGCACAGGGTGCATACAGAACGAAATTGCGTAACATACAGCTTATAAACGTTGCATTGATATTTCAAATGGCACAAGTTATAGAAAAATACAAAAAGTGCAGCAGTGGTCAAAGTGTGAACAGTGCAGAGGATAAGAGACAGTGTGCAAGTTGCAGTGGTTCAGTGCAAATAGGCATTTGTGCAAAAAATGCGTTATGAAATAGTAAAAATAGAAATGAGATGAACAATTAAAGGGCTTTAATTTTAAGGACATTATCTGACAAATCAACGTAAATGTTTGCTTAACATAGACAGATTTTTTAAATTTTAATATTAAAAGGATGAGTGTGTGTTAATCCTTTACTCTGACACCCCTAAATAAAATTCAGTGCCACCATTTGCCTTCAAATGCAGTCAAATTAGAGGGTTCAATCCAGCTCTGTTTAATTTTTTTTGGTGTATAAACATTGTTGTCATGAGGATTATTAGAGAAATTAAGACTAAGGAACACATTAGGCAGGTTTAATATGTGGAGAAGTTTTTAAGAAGTTGGGTTATTAAACATAATCTCAGAGAGATCACTTTTCCCTTATTCAGAAAAGAAATAACTCTAGCACAGTTACAAACCTACCATGGGCATCTGCTTTAACTGACTTTCTGGGCAAGGAGAGCATTTATCAAAGAAGCAGGCAGGTGATCCATGGTAGCACTGGAGGAGCTGTAGACACCTGCAGCTCAGGAGAGAGAATTTTTAGACCAAATATCTGTTGGTCGTAAGAGCCAATGATTGAAGATTTGCAATATCTGTTTGATTTAGCCTGCTCTCAGTTTCACCTTTGATGCTTTTAGGTTTGCAGTCTTCACCTAAATGTATTCAGACAAGCTGAAGCTTGAGGCAAACGTGTTTAGCCGTAAACATCACCCATAGCTTCTTTTATTTTGCATTTGATAAAAAGTTTCCCTCTAGAGTTCCTTCTATCTCGCAGCTTAAGTCCGTTAATGCGTCCTCACCACGTCAGCGTTATGGTCTGTGAGCGTAAACCCAGCCAAGCATGTGCCTCAACCCTCCACCAAACACAACGGGCACGCACTCCTGAAACACGTACGCATACCGACACACACACACCTGACATGTGACACGCGGGCAGCGGAGCGGGCACATCACAGCCGGGGCGTTTTAATTGCCTGTAATTTATGCAGCGTGTGTGTGTGTGTCTGTCAGCTTCTGAGATGATGCCGTGTGACAGCTGCAGTCCAGCCCCCGGAGCGAGCCGCTCATAATGACACATTAGACATACTAATGATGCCTCCGCGAGTCCACTGCTGATGCTACCTAGCTCCTACGCATCACCCAGGCGTACACACACACACACGCCCCCACACACACACATTCAGTCCATTACTGACCTTTATGTCTTCATTCAGTTCCTTCAAACACAGCCTTGTGAAAATGTCTTCCCACTTGTAGCAGCACTGGGACCAGTTGTAAGTTAAAGGTAGTATATCTGATTAACATACTGACCAATATATCGCCTTTAAAAAAACTGCACAATCACATGTGGATGGAGAAAGTGTGCATACAGCAAGTCCTGATTCTCACTTAATTCAATACAATGCAGTTTATTTCTATGGTGCCAATTCTACAACAAATGTCATCTTGATATAAACCGGCTTATGTGTAATTCATTTTGAGATGCCACAAATCTGCACAAAACGGAGGGATATTCAGTACAATTCTTCAAGCTGATTGGATAGCTGCCTCCCATGTCGAGTTTATAGCCAATCAGAGCAGCAGTAGTAGCTGGGATGTATCACATTCTTGATCGGTTTTAAGGAATAAACTGATAAAACTTACCAAATCCGGTCATGAGGAACGTGCAAACATCTTTCTGATCCACAAAGGTATAATTTGCGTTCTTTTGCTCGTTTTTCAAAATAAAAAGTATCCCAGTTTGTTTTGTTTCAGCCTCCCATTATACACATCACGCATTTAATTGGTCTGAAACATTTCTATCTAAGAAAAACTAGCTGATTGCATCAAGTCTTTGACTTTACAGGATGAGCATGTGATTGACTTTATAGCAGTCCCTTGACTTTGACTAGATCTTTCTCCAATAAATACGCCCTAATGTAGTGTCTTCTTGGTGCTCTGGTTCTATGTTGTTATATTTTTCTCAGAAGTATCAATATATTTAAGATTCCTCCATCTCTACAGAAAAGCATCCCCACAGTAATGATGATGCCACAACCATGCTTTATCCTTGGGACGGTGTTGTTTCTTCCTATTAGCTAATCTCACCTCTTGGCCACGACTCTGAATAATGCTTTCCTAGCCCAGTTTAAGGGTCTTTTTAGAGTTACAGTTGTTCCATATTCTTTCCATGGTCAGACGGTGGAATGAACAACGATCTATATTATTTTGAGAGCCCTGTTTTACGCTTCTTGGTTGGACTTTATCATATTTTAATCAGGATGTTAGCAATCAAATGCATGCCACACTATTCAGATTTTTATAAGGGAAGCAAATACGTTTTTCTTTTGTTTTACAATAACGTCTTGTGTTGATCTTTAATGTAAAAACCCAGAAAATGAAATGAGAATAAGTAATAAATTTCTAGGGTTACACCTTTGAACCCCTTCCTGTTTTTCTTTTTTTGCATCATCAGGGATGCTGAGGTCTCTCATGCGGCAGGGACAGTATTTCTGCCATGAATGTGGGAAGAGCTTCAGTCAGCCGAGCCACCTGCGCACACACATGAGGTCCCACACAGGTAAGTTAAAATGAAAACTAAAGCATTCGTCTGGGAGACCAGCCAAAAATCACTGCGATCTCACTTTTTGTTGGGCATTAATAGAGGAGGCTCAATCATGCATGGTAACAATACAACACTTTTCATATTACAATGTAATTAAGGTGTCCCTTCCAGAGTAGTAGGTCTTTAAAATGTTTTTCTTTAATGGATTTGATCAAATCTCCAATGTAATTTTTTTTTTATGAGAATTCAGTCCGAGTTAAGCCCATCCAGTAATTATTATATGCTTTCGTCTTTATTAGACTTTAGAGATGCTGAACTTGAGAAAATGTTGCACCTCCAGGAGCCAAAACACAACACTGATATTAAAAAAGTCTGCTATTAAGCTCTGCGTTATGAGTTTATGAAGTCATATACAGCAACTAGATGAGGGTTTGGTTGCTAATCAAGTTCTGAAACTAATCACAGTAACAGTAGGAGGAATATTAATGAGCAACAGGTCCATACCATCGTCTGTATATGGGTGAACACAACAGCCTGCTTTAAAACTTTTGATCTATTTGTTATTAATGCACTTTTCAAACTTCCCATCTCGTTGGCCACTCCTTCATCAGTCCCTCACCTCTACACGCACATCACCACCCTCACAGCTCCATCCATCCTCCGACAGCATGAGGTATGGAGAAAATATGCAGGGGATTTCACATTTTGAACAATTCTTCACTGTCGGACGCCGCGTTCCGTCCCGGCTTTCAGGGAGATAAATCAAGAGGCGTCTTCTTTGTGTTGGTGCCGGGCGTGACGGCCGATCTGTGAGTCCTTCCTGCCCTGGGCCGGGCAGCTGTCTCTATTTTTTAAACAGAGATGTGGTTCGGCGCAGACACCTGACCTGTGACAAATTGTATACATTATTAATCGCCTGTCAATTAGAGAGATGGAATTGTGCATTCTAATGAGGCAGAGCAGCATTTGTCCACGCCAACTTTAGGGACGGATTTGCATGAATCTGAGTGCCACTCACCACAAACAGCTTGATTAGTCAGCCTGGCTGTTTCTGATCCAAACTTTCCTTCTTCTCTTTTACTTTACCTTCTGGATTTCTTTCTTTCTTTCTTTCTTTCTTGTTTTCTTTTCCAGCAAAAAATATTCATCCCCAAAAACTTTATTATTTAACATTAAGACTTTATGCAGTACAAAGTTATACATGAATTTGAAGGATATATATATATATATATATATATATGGTAGCATTTTTTTTTAACTCTGATTGCCCTTAATCCAATCCAATAGCCTTGTGTGTAATTCAACCTCAGTATAACTCCAGCTGTTCTTTGAAGGGCCCAGAGATTCTTTAAAGATTAGTGAACAACCAGCATCTTGAAGACCAAGAACCCCAGCAGACAGGTCAGGAAGAGGGTTGCTAAGAAGTCAAAATCAGAGTCAAGTTGAAAGACAAACCATTTATCAAACCATTTATTTTAACAACTTACTGACATCTATTCTGACAAGATGTGGCAAGCCGTTCCACAAATCTGCCCTTTGTGGAAGACCTGCAAGAAGAAAACAGCTGAAGCTCCTGCTGCAGAATACCCCAAAACATTAAGATATGAAGCGGACATTTGAAAGAATATGCTCCTGTCAAATGAGACCAAAATAACTCTTTGGTCTCATTTTAACCACCAAACATGACAAAACACCATGTGAGGTTGATCATTGACACTTTAACAGATTATCTCCACTGTGAATCACGGTCGAAGGAGCATCATAATTAAAAAATGCTCCTCTTCAACTTGGGATTTATCTGCCAACTTATTTATTGGCTTCGATTTCCTTGATTTTGGTAGACCGGTGCTCGGCCGATACTTGTGAAAACTGGTCTTTTCCACAGACCTTATGTACCTCTGCAAATGTCTGAAAATCAGTGCTCTTAACACTGATTTGTAATTGAGAGAAGTAATTTCATAAGGTTTTTACTTATGAAATTACAGGTAATTATTAAAGCATTTCAGTAAGATAAGATTGACTGGCGATAGACTGGAGTCCTGTCCAGGTTCTACCCCGACTCTTGCGCATTGACAGCAGGAGAAAGGCACCACCACCCCTCGCCACCCCACCTGGGATTAATCATGAAAAAAAATGGATGGAAGATGGAAATATTAATGTGTTTAAGACTTGAGGTTTTTTTGTAGGCTCCCGCAGGACTAGTGGCTCGTTTTTGAAAAGCAGGCTGACAGGAAAGGGGGTGTAAGACAGGAAGAGAGACATGCGGAAAAGGATCACAGGCCAGATTCAAACCGGGATCGGCCGCTTTGAGGCCTCTGTACATGGGTTGTGCGCATCACTGTGCTACCGAACCACGCCCAGGTTGAAATCTTAAAACAACTGAAAGTCAGTTATTAATAAATATCTGTACTGATCAAAATTGGAATTTGCATCTCAGGCGTTTTAGAGATCGGGAATCGGCCTGAAACCTGCAATCAGTGCATCCTTATCTTGAGCAGGAAGAAGAGAGCTGGTACAGGGCAAGGCAGCAAAAGGCTAGAGGCTCTAACTGGGCAGCAGCATTATAGACAGCTGAAAGGATTCACGAGTCAGAGTGGAGTCAAAGTCCAGACTTAAATCTGATGAAAGAAACTTCACAGCAAGATGGAAAAACTGCTGTTCGATTCTGCTCTCGGTCCAATCTGACTGAGCCATGAATACATCAATAAAAAAGTAGATTTTTGTTTCTAGATTTCCACAGCTTGCTGAGAGAAAAACGGTCTAACTGAAAGAGTCTGAATACGTTTAGATGGTGCTGTATTCCTTTCTTTCATGTTTACCTATTTCTGCTCAGTGCATGCTGACCCCCCCCTCCCATCTTTCCTTACATGTCCCTCTTTGTTCCCCTGCTCGGCTGCCTGTCTCCCTCCATCCTCCACTCTCCTGTCCTGTCATGTCCTTCAGCCGGGCCGGCTGTGATCACAGTCGACATGGAGATAAGTAGCTTCTTTATAGAGAGTGTGAATGATATGTGGCACAGCCAGTGATTCTAAGTGACAGAGGCCAAACGGTAAGTGATGCAGTGCTGAGCTTCCCCTCCAGCCCCACCGTAAACACACACACACACACACCCAGGGTCTGTAAACACTCGCAGAAGCTGTAATTAATGTTGTCACCCACAGTCGGTCTTGAGCAGGGACGTGCACGCGCAGAAAAGGCCAGCCACCCCGAGGCCTCGATTAACATGCGTCACATTAAATCACAGACTCGCCTCCACCAGGTTCCGTCACCGTCTTTCGCCGCCACCATTACCATCATCATCATCATCATCATCGCTGCCAAATCCCCTCCACTAACGAGGGGCCGCTGGTGGCAAAGGCTGCTGTGTTATGCGGGGGGTGGCCGCACAGAGAGGGGAAAAGAAAGACAAACAAATGCTAACACTTTGCTAATCCATGTATGGATCTGGTAGAGCGTTTAACCAAATGCCCTCCTCCTTCCTCCCCCACCTCCCCCCACCCTCCTCCTCCTCTTCCTCCTCTTCCTCTTTCCTTCTCCCCCTCACAGTTGGGTTTGATTATAACGGAGTCCACCGAGGTACTGACGCTCACACCACCGCTTCTGAAGCTCCCAAACAAGTATGTGGCACTACGGCTAATCACCGGGCTCCCTCATGGCTTCTGCATGTCTCTCATTATTGCCGTCTCGCCTCATGCATGCGTGGCTGCATGTTGGACTGCTTATGCATGTGTGCTTGTGTGTGTGTGTGTGTGTGTCCATCATACAGCCTAAAGTCCTAAGCAAGTTTGCCCTTTTTGCTCCTGTGTGACCGTCACATGTGGTGCCCTCTCCGCCAGGCATTAACCCCTACATCCTCGCATACAGCAGCATCACACCTGACATCGATGTATGTGTGTATCCAGCACACATATGAAAAAGCCTAACTTAACCTAAATCTTGCATAATTTTTTTTTTATATGATTATTTCAGAGTATTCAAACATTTTGTTTGTTTTGTACAAAAACACCCCGCTGTGTGTCTGTACACCTTACAGTTTGTTAAGCTCCAACTGTGCTCGCTTCCTTCTGCTGCACATTAAAATATGACTGCTTTGAATTTACTGTATAACCAACTTCACTTTTAGTCATTTCAGTGAACGATTACAGCAATATTGCATTAACAATAACTATATAAACTTGTACCAGATGAAAAATCTCTGTCTTTCCCCTTTCTCTCTGTGATTACAAATAAAGCTGGTAAACTTGGCAGCTCTCATAACTATAGACCTAAAGCCCGAGCTAGTACGTCTTTGAACCAATTTCTTTGCCAAAATTTGGAAAGATAATTATGTGTATAGACAATCAATTTGGGTTCAAGTCATAACAATGCACTGATATGTTTATATATGGCCTTAATATAGTAAGATATCTGTCCTTGTTGGTATGCTAATCAAACTATGCAGGTCAAATGGGATAACTGTGAGTCTGACAAGGAAGCATTTTATCCCCTATGTTGTTTAATTTTTATATGAATGGTCTCTCTAAGCAGCTAAAGTGCATAAAACTTGCTACATGGTTGGTGATCCCACTTTGAATCATTTACTGTATGCTGATGACCTAGTGGTTTTTAGTCCCAGCTGGTCTTCAGAAGCTGCTTAATGTCTGTTCAGCATATGGCAAACTATTTTATGTCAAATTCAACCCATCAAAAAGTATCATCTGGATTTGGTGAGCTAAGGAGGACAAAAATAGAGTATTTCCAAATTTCATACTGTCTGGGACTCTATTGAATGTCTCAGATGAAGTAAAATATCTCGGCCATGTGTTGACAGACCCTCTGGGTGATGAGATTTACTGTGAGGTTCGAATGTTATATGCTCAGGCAGATATCCTTGTCCGTAAGTTTGGATTCTGTTCTGATAAAGGGAAACTGAACTTATTGAGGTCGTATTGTACACTTCTATACTGTATACTGCATATTTAGGGTGCAACTTTAAAAAAAACAGTCTTCAAAGAATAAACGTGGCCTATGATGATGGTTAAGACTTTTGTTAAAGAAACCCAGATGAACCAGTGTTTGTAACTGCTTGCATCAGCACTTTGACAGCTGTTTTAAAAAAGCATATGTATACATTTACTTATAACAAATAACAGAATTATCCGACTGCTGACTAATGTTAAATATAGTGCAGTAAAATACTCATCTGTACTACGGAGACATTGGTATGACTGCCATTTGAATGGTTAGGAGTCGCTTTTTATTGTACTTTTATTCTTTTGTCGTTTTTCTTTTCTTTTTTATGTAATTTAGAATTTGAGTCTGTAATAAAATCCCTCTTTCTCTCTCTATCTCTCTATAAAAGGTAGTTAGATTTTTTATGGTCATACTGTTATGTTCGTGGACATGGAAAAAAAACAAACTTGTTTACTGAAGATTTAAGCTTTTTCATCTTAAACTCGTTGAAAGCTGAGATGTTTTAAAGATTTTGTCTTCTTTCTGTGACGTTTAAAAACAAATGTAAAAAGAAACCAGCCTTACTATGACAACGGATTTCACTGAAAAGTAGAATGGTGCCTTAGATATTAAGAATTTTTGGGGAGTTAGTCATATTGGTAAAAATCTATTGCACAGGATTACATTTGTTCTGCTTTTTGCCTTCTCACAGAGCGGGCCTCTAAACCCTGTGCTTCAGTCATAATTTATCACACAGATCACACACAAACTCAGATTTACCTTACGCTCTGAGTGATGGGAGCAGGCGCAGCGGAGGGGTCCAATTAGATGTACTGTTGACGCTGCTTTACGACGACGATAACCTTTAGCATAATGTAGTGCACCGGTCCCGTCAGCCATGTTTTCTCCCAGGACGATGTCGTTTAAGTTCTCGCTTTCCCCTCACGTCTTTGCCTCGCCATTTCTTTCCCACATTTTTTTGGGGGGGGTAGGGGTTGATTAATTGCACCTTTTTTGTTTTTATCCCTCTTTCCCTCTCATCCACCTTCCAGGGCTTCTGTTCTTCCTTTCGCGTTTCTGATGATGTATGATAACAGCCGTATTTTCTTGTTTCTTCTTCAGGGAGAAAGGTGCGGGAGGGGCAGCGGGAGCCATTTGTTTTCCCACTTTGATATTCTTCCATTTATCAAAATGATAATTAGGTGCAATTAAATGGCACTCTCATTTGTTTTGCTCGCATGTGTGTAGCCTTTTTTTTTGCTATTTTGCAGAGGTGCCTGTGCCATTGTAGGTCAGTCTAATTAGAAGAAAGTGTGCAGGGGGATATGTGTGTGTGTTTGTGGATGCATGCATCTGTTTATGTGTGGGAAGAAGCTATATGCATTGTCCCGAATGATTGAGAGGAATAAAAAAAAGTTCTGTTCAAGCAGAAGGGCTAGTCCATCTACGCCAACTTTAACTCTTCCTACAGTAACAACTTGCCCACTGAAGAGTGTTTTTATATTCATACAAACAAAGTTTGTTTTAATTAATATTATTGTAATCATTAGAATCAGGAAAAATGAGAATAAAAAATAATTAATTTAAAAAGCTAAAAAGACTTTGGTGATAAATTGATGATAAATTAGATGTGTAATGTGTAAATGAAAAGCAATGGCTATGTGACACATTCTCACATTCTAATGCAACTACTATTCTACACAAATTCTATACAAATATAGGTCATGTTTATTGAAAAACTTCAATTCAGGTTCTACATCAGTAGAAGCTGAATCAAGGCAACAGTGGTGTCGGATGAAGGAGTTTCGCTTGCAATTGGAAGGTTGTCGGTTTACGCCCTGGCTCTGTATTTCAGTGTTGTTGTGTCCTTGACACATTTGCCTTACTCCACTTTTACAGCAGTGGTTAAAAAAATAATAATTATTATTTGATTATTGCAGGGCGTTGGTGTCTTTGTTTTTGGTTTTTAACCATCACTGAATTTTTTAACAGTCACAAATTTCTTGACGCCTAATGTTGCAAATATAAAGCAAATAGTTTGTTGTGTATTTACCGCAGAAATGATAGCAGGTCCATTCCTCCAAGGTCAGTTATTAAACAATCAGTGGAACCATTGGTAAGCACTGGTTTCTGCTACCATTGGTCCCTGATGGTGTATGAAATTAACTCTTAGCACAAATTGGTAATATACATAAATTTCTCTTTATTTTTGTGTATAGTCCTACTTTGAATCATTTAATGTATACTGATGAGCTAGTGGTTTGGATGGATGGATGGATGGATGGATGGATGGATGGATGGATGGATGGATGGTTAGTTGGGTACAGGGCTGAAGATATATCAGGTAAAAAAAAACAAGCTTTTAAAGCAATAATTAAAAATACATCATGGCTCTACATTTCCTTAAAATACCTTAACTTAGGTGATGGACTAACTTTTTTTTGTATGTAAAGAGCTTATATGGTGCATATAGCTATTTGCAAACTGCCAGTTATCGCTCACCTGACTAGAAGAATGCTGTCACATTTTGTTTTCATGCTTGTAGAAAAAATCTGTACATATCTGGGATTAGTTACTGTTGCAAAAAGCTCAGAAAGTCATGCAGTGAAAATGTAAATAGTCCCACCCATTAACCTATGAAGGCATGGCTGTTAGAAATAAAAGCAATAAGAAGATGCTGTGCATTTTCTGTATTTGTTTTACAGCCATTAAAGAGAGATATTGTTCTAGGTTATGCTTTTACTGTGAGAGTCCCATACAACCGGTTTTGGTTAAGAGAGACATAAAAAAAAGCTTTGGTTGGTAAGCAAGATCTTTACAGACTTTTGGCTCAATACTGTCTCCAGTATCTGCTCATGCTCATGTTCGCTTGTTTTTCCATTTCTTTGTCACATGCCGCCTCATGCCTCATATGCGATTTACATCACTACATTGCATTTGCTGCTTTTATAACAATGTGTTTTCCATTCTGTCTATGGTGTCTAAACTAGCTAGTCTCTGACCTGTGATCTTCATATGTTTGTTCTCCAGGGGAAAGGCCATTCTGCTGCCAGCTCTGCCCATACCGAGCCTCTCAGAAAGGGAACCTAAAGACGCACGTCCAGAGCGTCCACCACATGCCTTTCGATAACAGCCGGTATCCCGACCCGACAAGTTTGTCCCTGAGCCAGGAGGAGCAGAAAGCAGAGGCTGCCAAACACATACCAAATCCACAATGATCTTACTGTGATTAATGGAACAGAAAATCAGAGACTCTTGAACCCAAAATCTGAACCAAGACTTTTTATTGAGACATAATTCTGGAAGAATGGAGGTTCCTTAAGTTTTTCTTTATAGCGCTCTTCTTCTTTTGCGGAGAGGCGTGCAAAAGCGTGGATTACAGTGAAAGGAGGTGAATCGGAAAATAATGTGTGATAACATTGCAAAGACTTTGTAGTGGAGGCTGATTGTGAGAAAGTGAAGATTGAAAAATCGAAGTGTCTTCTCAGCGAGAAAGCTGGACTCACCAAAATCAATCTTTTGCATCTCTTTGAGGTGAATGCTTGCATCATTTCAAGGATTTTTTTGTGTTTTTTTAGTTGTTAGAATTTAGATTTTCCTCTTGCTTTCATGTTTGAGGTGTGAAGTTGCCACGAGCAGCCTTAAAGAAAAACTCAAGTGTCTAATAGGAAGGAAAAGCCAACTCATATGGAGCTGGTTTAATCAAAAACTGTGGAAATACTTTACTACTACTGCTGAAACTTTTACACTTTTGTTTTGGCTTCGTCGAACGGGCTGGATGGACTAGTCCACGCAGAAGAGGACACCCCTCAGTTCATCTGACTCCTGATGCAGGTGACAGGAATCTGGATCAAATCACAACCCGCTTCCTAAAAACTCCATAGCTTCAAAGCCGATGACTTCAGAGAAAGGGGCTGGATGAGAAAGAAAGATGGAACACTGGTGTGTGCTTAAGTGCTCATTAAAAAATATGTGATTTTAATAGCCAATATAAAAGAGCATCCTATTTTTATGGCCATTCAATTATTTCCCATTTGAAGAAGATATTTCCTCCATTACCTGTTCATAAAAGATTTCTGGCTTAGACATAGTGGTCTAAAAATAGAGTGTCATATAGGTGTTGGCTCCAGATTTTATTTCAACTTGTGCACTTGGAAAAAAAAAGACTTGATATAACTGGAAGAAATACCTCCTCCAAGATAACTTTTGACATTTTCTCCTTATTGATCTTGAGACAATTATAAAATCACAGCCATAATGCAGTTGCACTGGATTCAAACAATCATTTTATATCTGATAATGCCACTTTATTGGATAATCAGAGTTAATAAACAAGCCTGGGTAGCTCAACATTCTGACCTTAGCTATGCATTCATACTGAGAAGATGACAGCTAGTAGCCTCTAGTAATTAAAGTATGAGCTGCAAAGTTAAAAGGCAACGATCAGAGAAGAATAACTATAAGTAAAGCATTTTTGTTAACAGTGCTGCATAATATGGTCCACGTAATCAGTTCGTATGTCTTGGTCTTTCACCAAGAGATTCACCAATCAGACGAGAAGATAAAATTTTAATTTATATAAATTTATATATAAATATAATATCTCTAACTTCCTTTCATTGCATCACGCTGTGTGCCAGAGTCTAATAGTCGGAAACAGAGCAACTTATTCCTCGGGTAGCATCATATGTTAGCAATGAGCATATTGGTAGACGAATCCTCCTTAGAAATGAGGGGGGACATAGTAATCCATGCATTCATTAGCTGCATTTCCATTAGCCATAAGTTTTGCTAAAATTAAACACTGCGATTTCGAATAAAAAGAAGAGGTTTTATGCTTTGATGAGGTATTTTTTTAGTCTGAGAGAAATTCTTATAATTGGCAGAACTGCAATGGAAACAATTTTTTTTGGCATCACAAAAAAAGTGATCTTCAGATTAGGGTTGTCACGATACTAAACTTTTCAACTCGATACCGATACTAAGTAAAATATTCGATACTCGATAACCTTTTCGATACCACCAGAATAAAAACAAAGACTCTAAAATTCAACAGAAATATTTTCATTACTAAAAAAATACAAGAAATAAATAAAAAAAACAATAATAATATTTTGAGGTTGTATGCTGTGCACAATATTAAGCAAGCTTGATAAAAAACTTACCAAACTAAAATGAAGTGTTCCTTCCTTGGCTATGTTTTGCAGACATAACAATGGTACTAGCCAAACCAGTTAAACAAAAATAATTCTCAGCAGATGCACCTGCTACAAAAAAAGTCTAAAACTGAAAAATGCACAGAATTATTCAATCACACAGTGTTCAGAAAGTGCATTTTCCACTATTCTGCACTTTAGATGGCTGTATCAATACTTTTGAAAATGAGTATTGTATCCGGATACAACGTTTCAGTATCGATACTTTTTTGAGTATCGATACTTTTGACAACCCTACTTCAGATGGAGCATACTTTCTCGTAAAAAGATGAAGAAGAAGACTGGAAGTATTTAAAGGATGATGTTGCTCACTAAAGCTGTTATCACATAAACAAACGTTTTTAATTGTAGTTCTTGTTTCAAGGGAAACCTTGTATTTTCAAAATTAGCAGTATATCAACATGTTTTTTTTGTGCAAATGGAAATGCAGTTACTGTTTCTGTGTTCTTGAAGAAAATCCGTCCTCCTTCGAAAGCTTTAAATCTTAGCTTTTTTTTTTTTTTTAAAAAGGTTCACTAATACTGAAGCCAACCGACTTTAAGACATCTTAAACATCCACACCAAAGACTCTTTTATGTTTTGCATTGATCAGTCAGCTTTTTCTAATTGTCCTATATTCATTAATCAAAACACAATAATATTTTAGATTTTCCTTTAGTTTAATGAACAGTCACAGCTAAAACAATGTGCAGCCAACTACTTCTAACATCTCCTGTTAGAATCCCAGCCTAGATAAATATGTTTTTATGCTTTCCTGCAAAACTGTTAGTTTATATTGCAGATGGAATAATAAAAATAACATTCAAACCTAAATAAGCCACACCTGTTAACACTTATACTTTAAAAAGTAAGAAATGAGCACTTATGCCTGCATAGAAATGCATAACTATGTGTTTAAGATTTGAGGAGAAAACTGAGCCCCTTTCCAGTGCTGTCAGTCCAGTTCTATGGCTGGTGATGTCTAGATCTGAATTCTAAGGGGACTGCTGATAGGAGGTCAGTTAGAGAGCAGCCAGAGGTCAGGAGGTCAGATTTACAGAGACCTTTGAGATAAACACGTCCGAAATGATGTCCTCTGAGTCATAGAGCTGTCAGAGCCTTAACAGAGTTAAACCCTGAGTTAAGATTTTTTACCTTTCCTTACCTTATGTTCTGCATCTCAGTATAGATGCTCTTTATATTATCCTCTACCTCCTTTGCGACGAAAGCCTGATATAAAATGAAGATGAACTGATTAATTTTGCTTGCTTTTCACCCTCAAACAACTTTCACACTTGAATCAGGAATGTCTGGACGAAAAGTTGACAGCAAAACGAGGAGAAGCCGAAACGAAAGACGCTCCAGCCTGTAGGAGCCAAACAGTCGACATCACGGACTTTATTCCAAACAGTAAAGCTGACGGAATAGTGCTTTGCGTGTTCGGAGACGTCAACGCTTTTTACATGCTTGTAGGTTGTATTTAGTAATGCCATGTGCTTGAATTTGCCTAATTTATACACACCTGTGGGTGTGGAAGTGTATGTATGTGTGTGGAAGGTGTGGGTAGTTTAAATACTTGAAATGGATCTAGCCTTTGGGGTAGTGTAGTACTAATACCAATGTTGTACAGAATTCCCTTTATGATTAACTCCTCAGTTTATACTCCAAAGTGTGACTTAGAAAACTGTAAAGCAGGAGTGAGTGTGTGTATATCTGTATCCCACTTTACCAAACCCTTTACAAGCAGCAGTAGAAACCAAATGGCATTACTAGTGCACTTAGACTAGGTTAGCGCTTTAACCAGGTAAATTTTTCTGTATTTCTTGCTAAGGTTTATTTGAGAATGTCTCTTTTTATTGGTGCCGGCTAAAACTAACTTCACTGTCGTTCTTGGTTTAGATGCTTTTTTTTTTTTTTTTTGTTCTGTTAGATTGATTCCAGATATTCCAATGATTAATAATTAAGATAAAGATTTATCATGTAAAGGCTGCACAGCGCAGCTCTTTAGTGTTTTCTTCATGAAAAGTTGGATATTGATAGCTGCAGCTTTTTTTTTTTTATTTTAATGAGAATCTCAGAGAGTTTTTTTTTAGTTTGTTTTGTGTAAACTGTAGCTAGTCAAATCAGCTGTCCCAAAGGGACTGGCAGGTGTTTTTCTTTGGGGTTTTTTTTTTTTTTCATGCCTTCTATACTGTATTATTTCTGTCTATATTGCTGTTTTTTATTTGTTTTTGGTCTATGGTTAATTTACTCCAGGAGAAATTATTATTCCAAATGTACTTGCTTGAGATCTGTATTTATTATCACCTCAAAAAGGATGAGAGGACAGCATCGGGACGGGGGCGTTTGTTTCCATTTTATTTTTCCAGGTTTTTTTTATTTTTCACTGTGTAGTTTTTTGTTTTTTTTTTTGTCGTCGTTTGTTTTTGAAGCCAGCAAGCCGTCGTGAAAGCTCTACCTCGTCTGAGCCATTCTCAGTTCTGTTACGATTTTGTACATCATTTCAGAAAGATGTATCGTCATGTCCACAATAAAGATCAATACATAAAGACTGCACCTCTTTCCTTTGGGTAGAGCACTGTCAATTTTAGATTTAAGTTTCAATTCTTTTATGGTATTTTGATGACACCATGATTGTAATTCTGATTTCCAGGACATAACTGAGCTGTGTGATGGAGATAATCACTAAGATCCCCATTAATATGGCAAAATTTACCAGGAAAAAAAAATAATAGTCCCATATCTACTAAAATACTAAAAGTATAAATGATTAATTATTGCATAATTTGAGTAATGTATTTTATGAATTTATCAAAATATTGATATTTATAAACCCCTAAACCCAAATGATATTTTGTGGGAGTTACTTACAGGTTTAATAATTGCTTCATAAATACTTGCAACAAAATATTACTGAAAGAAAAGTAGAAAAAAACTTTTCTCTGATTGAATTTTGATATTTTCTGAAGTATTATTTAAAGCTTTTGTTGTGTTTCTCTAAGGTTTAGGGCCTGTGGCCTATTCCCTGCATGCTCAGTTGACCGGTTACATCTTTGCACATCAGGTGCCTGAAGCTAATTTTGACATAAAGAATGCCCATCCAGCTTTTTTCAGATGGCTTGTACTTGGTCTTGGCATTTGTGTTGGGAGAAGCAGAAGTGTTTGCTGTTTCTATACTCTGATGCGTTACTTGGGTGGCACATCATTTCTCCCCAACCGAGAGGTTACTATAAATGCAGAGGGGTTGCTACTTTTGGACATTAAATTTGATCTTTCGTTTTATTCCTTCACACTGCAGTTCTTACTTTAAACTGTATATGACACTGCACATAAGGTTGGTATTCAACAGCTGGTTGTAGAAGAACAGTCAGAGTTTGACAACATGTGTTACGTTTTAGCAATTCTTAAAAGTCTACATACCATTAAGCAACAGGTCATAAACCATAGAGGAACAGCCAGTATAAACCAGTTGTCAGACTGGAAGAATGCAGGTTTGCAAGGGTTTATTTGATAACCTGTAGGTTGCTCCATGGAACATTCTGGATACTTTGAAACAATTCCTAGGAAAAAAAATTAGTTTTGAATCAATGCATCTCAGCTTAGTATTTGTCTGACAGAGAACAAACTGCAAAACAAAATCTTTGCAGGAAATTGTTCTATGAATGATATAAAGCATTCAAAGCACAACAACTACGAGAATAAATCTTGAAAGAAGGCCTAGTTTTTTTCTGAATTTCTTCCAAGACCGTAATAGAATTGCAACAGAATAGTTGCAGTTGGAGCAGACATTTAAACAAACTATAAAATATTCCTACCTCAGAGCTACAGTACTGTGCAATTATTATTGGTACAGACATAACCCTTTAAAATGAAAAGTCTTGCATTTCATCTTCATACATTATTCATTCATTAAAATTAGTAAAAGTGGTTGTTTGTAGTTTATTGAAAAATGTGCCTTGTTTTTTAAGATAATAGTGCAGTCAACAATTAAAGAATCCAACAGATGGTTTGAAAAGTTTATTGATAAATATACATGCAATGAGATTAGTCCCTCTGTTTAACAGCTCCTTTCCAGAATAATACTAAGATAGCTAAGTGGTAAATGTCTGCAATCTGGGAGGTTTAAGATTGATTTTGTACTAAAGTAAAAAAACTTTTTTTTTACCTTTTGGATGAGGCAAGAGATGAGATGAGGGCCTCATCAGGAGCTGCGGTGAAATTTCTGAGTGGATTTGTTGATGATGGACTTTTTGTCTTTTTTCCTAGTTGGTGTGGTTGATTTTTAAACAATGAAGTATGGGAAGGACTAGTTCACCTAGAACTTGCTGGTTTTAGAAGAAACGGTGTGGCGATCCTGGGGAGAGTTCTCCAAACAGACAAACAGATCATGGTAGCAGACCACAGAAATCCAGGAAAACATTAACTAGGAACTGAAAATTGTGGAAGAGGTACAGCAAAGGTGAGTGTTAGGAATTTAAGAGCCTTATTACCACTCATCAGTCCAACGCAATCTGGCATCTGCCTCTGGAAACCCAATTCGCTTTAATCTCTTGATTGACACTGATAAGCTCCAGTTGGAGGACACACCTGTCAGTAAAACGCTATAATGCGAGGAGTTAGGAGAGACACGCTCACACTCAATGACCTGTACAGATCTGTGAATATGACACTTCTTTAAAAATGGAGAACAAGAGTAATCACCTTTCAACTTTAACATATATCAGTATTATTTTAAGCAAACATTTTTCATTTTGCTTCTTTTTTTCCTTTCCACCAGTGTATCACTCAAAATTGTTGCATGAATGCTAAGAAGAAACCCAACAGATTTGCTTTCACGAGGGAAGCATTACAGCTTATGC